CTTGTCTCTCATCCTTGTCATATAGCGTTCGTGCAGTCCTTAATCTAGAAGGTTCATATTCTTTCACTCGCTGTCTATGACCTCCGTTTCACTAAATGGTACACTAGCCGCTGGAACCAGAGGACGCGAGCTCCTCTTTCAAGCTACCTCCAAAGAAATGATCGAAGCTTACTCCCACGTGCCGAGGCCGTTTGGCACGGTCGTTGCGAACGACGTATTCAGCTCTGGGATTATCCTCTCTGACACGGATTTTAGACAGTTCCAACAATATTTGGGTGTAACTGGTTTAGACGTGAGTCGATCTGGGATTCTAGCGAGCGAGCTGACTATGTATTATAGATGGCCATCGTTGAGAATAGCTATTTGTATCATATGCGCAAGGATGTGGTAGATAATATTCAACCTGGTGTTGCACAGGTTTGTCGACCATCATTCTTCTCCGTTGATCTTACCATGATAATGTATCGTAGAATTTTGCGGAGAACACCCTTGCCCTCATTCTCCATTTATCCTCGCCTCCACCAACTTCCCCCTCTATTGCAACCTTGACAGGAGGCTTCACTAAACCTGCAACAGTATACTTCTCTCTGTTCGGCAAGTTCTGGATGTATAGTTTTTCAATGGCCAAGATCATGTATGCGGTTCTCCTGCTTGACGCAGTTGTCCTGATTACTGCAACGGCAAGGTCTCATTCCATTGTTGGTGCCCTTGCTACGTTAGGTCAACCCGCATTAGCTGTCCTTCTTGCCTTCATCGGCTCTCTAGTAGGAGCTAATTCGGTTGCGCTGGTCATGAGATACCTGCTGGGTAAACCCCTCAGCTGGTTCAGTAATGAATACTTGGCGATGGTGCTTTACGGCCCCCAGCTATCTTAGGTACGTTCGATGAAGCTGCTCGTCTTCTTTTCGCTAACCCGAAGACCATTGGATGCATGTGTCCACAGGCGCTCTCATCTCCCAGTATCCTTTTAATCAAGTTACAGAACTTCAAGCATATCATGCAACTCTTCTCGTCCAATCCTTCCTCGCTTTTGTCATTCAGCTACTTGATGTTGGCTCTGCTGCTCTATTCTTTCTCAATGCAGCGAGCCTCTGGGCTGGACTGGCCGTTACTGCAATTCTGGGGATGATCAGTGTCCGTAATGAGCGAGTGTCACTTCTCACATACGTCGTGTCCTCTTTTATCCCTTTGTACCTCGGCTCATCCAGTGCCTACCTGACATTGGAGGTGTTCGTACCTCTCACAGGTCGTATCGGCGCAGATGCACCGGCAGACAACCTGATTGCCAGCATTGTATCTGTTGTTGGAATGCTAGGATTTCCGCTCTTTGTTCCCTTTGTATGCAGATTTCAGAGCTCGGACAACAGAATGCTGGGTAAACTGATAGTCGTCATGACTCTTGTGACGGCTGTTCCGATCGCGGTGTTCAGTGCTAGGTCACCTTTCGACCCCATGCATCAGAAGCGCGTGTATGTGTTGCGTACAGAGAATGTAAGGCAACGTCCGTCTGCTGTGTTATGGGTATATGGCCTTATACTGTGTTCGGACTAGATAACAACCGGCGAACATCACCTTCATTTGTCGACTTCAGACAGCGCGCCTGGGTTCGAGCAATTTGTTTACGCTGTTGCAAAGGAATTCAGTGCTCCTCCCATGACCGCACCTTCGGAACCTGCTGATACCAACAGCACTAGTGATATCGCTTCTGCTATTGTGGGAGAAATTCCAATACCTGAACTAATCATGATGGACCGGTATAACGCTGATTGGGATCCTATGTTTCCGTTTTCCTTGGTAAAACATTGTCCCACTCTGTTTTTTTTTTTCACTCTATCTGATACGCCCCACAGTTCCTGAAGCCCTACAAAATCCCGCTGCATGTCGATACTACATATGTCTCTCCTTGGTCTACCACGTTGGAGGAAAATCGCAAATCCGGATTTACCATAACTGCAGTTGATGATGTGATTGACCTCGAAGGAGGTACGAGGAGTCTGAAACTGGTCATATGGCATCCCGGATTGATATGGACTGGTGAGTCGTATTGTATCTCCAACAGTTGAACACAAAGCTCACTATCTATCCTGCTGTAAGTGATTGCATTCGACGCTCATGTGTTGAAATGGAATCTCGACGATGAACCACCAAACGAGTATACCCGCCATCATGTTAAAGAGGCATCGTACTATGGCTCTGATACCTGGTCCATTGAACTCGTAATCAAGATACCTCCCCCTTCCTCATCTGACCCGGAAGCGGGAAAAATCACGGTAAATTTCATCGGGCTAGAAGAAGAAGGGATGTGGCCTGGTAAACGGGCCATAATTGAAGGAAAAAGTGCTTCAACACCAGGTCTAGCCCTCAAGTTATTTTCAACTTTGGATGCATGGATCACGAAGGAGACTGGGGATCAAGTTGATGCCTTGTTGTTAGGATGTGTGGCGGGCGTTCAACGTATATGATGTAGGTACAAGCAAAACGCAATAATAGCACACTTCGTCCTGCGATGAGATGATCAACATGATGCTGAAGATTAACAATCATCATCTCTGCGATTGTTATGCACTGTTGATGTTTTGTCGGCTGTCATCGGCTTTGACCAGTGCTAGTGACCACTTGCTCTATCTAACGGGGATGAAGACTAGCCCGTTTCTACCGGAGCCGCGTATCTTCCTAAACACAACTGGCTTTCCTTTTCTTACTGTTTGTCACTCACGATACCAATTCCTCCTCATGATATGGTGCCAAGTTGATTCTAGAGATATCCGAAAATCTCCCTTCCATCTTCTTATCCGCACCTTCTCGAACTGCAGCATTGAAACCCGGCCCCTCGAGACCAGGACACGTTCAGTTACTCTTCTTCTAACATTTGCAGAAATACTTCTACGCCAGCTCATCTTCTTATGACCACCCTTCTGGAGCGGATTTCGGGTTTTGGACCGAAATCTCTTGAATTACTTGGTACGCATGCTCGATTCAGTTATCAGATAACGGTGTTGTAACAAAACCATTTGTCCAGCAAAGCAAAATGCAAAGAGTATAAGAACAGAAAGAAAATTTCGTAATGCTAAAAAGCAGAATTTGCCGTTCGTTTTTCGCTGTTCAGCTAAACAACGTCTGTCATGATCTTCCCATTTGTGGTCCTTTCATTGCTTGTTTCTGGGATAGCCGCGTTCCCCCTCACATCGAGTCATTCTTCTGTCAGTGACTTGTCTATTCCCATTCGAAAACAGGTCAACGTAACTAGCGGGCACAATCTGGTCCGTGCTGGACATTTCCGGGCCCAATCCTTCCGCAATCGTGCAGCGTCCAAAAACCGTAGTGGACCCTCACCCAAGAAAAGACAGGAAGTTCCTGTCGTCAATGAAGCCATCACCTATATCGCAGAGGTCACTGTCGGTGTTGACAATCAAACATGTAAGTTGGTCGAGTTCGATGCACGATCTATGCTCGAGCCGGATTGTAGTTCATCTGCTTGTCGATTCCGGGAGCTCAAATACTTGGGTAAAGCGCACTTCTCTTATCGGCGTTTTGGCGCTTATATATCACAGGTCGGCGCTAACGCAAGCTACACATACATCCCTTCAACCAGCAGCGTTTGGACGGACGATATCGTCATTGTCGATTATGGCTCTGGATATTTCTTCGGTTTGTTTCTTTTCCCTGACATATTCGGACAGTTTGACCAATGCGGCCAACTTGTACTAGGTTACGAGTACTTCGATACAGTGGCTCTCTCGAACGAGCTAATTATCAAAAACCAGTCAATCGGAGTAGCTGATTTCCAACAAGGTTTGATTCTTCTTCGAGGTCCTCATATACATTGCAGCTCACTTCGGGGTACTAGGGTTTAATTCGATGGATGGAATTCTAGGGTGCTCATTTCTGATCTCATTGTCTCGTGTTATTGCTGATTATCGTGATTTGTGGTTCTCAGTATTGGGCCTGTCGATTTGACTGACGGTACCATATTGGGATCATTGGTAATGAGTAACTGTCATGCTCGTTGATCACAAACTCACGTTTCCATCTTCGACAAGGCTCCGGTAACCACAGTACCTACTGTGAGCGACAATCTCTTCAGTGAAGGTGTTATCTCTACGGAGGTCGTGGGTGTCTCTTTCGTTCCCACTACCGGTGCTTCGAATGAGCCCGAAGGAGAGTTGATCTTCGGTGGTTAGTATTTCCAACTCCGAGCATGATCTTTCTTTCTTGACCCATTACATTCGCATGGCACAGATATCGGAGGTAGTTCAAGATTTACTGGCCAAATCACTTATACGTGAGTCCCAAGTCTTTCACGGGTAGACATTTCTGCCTCATTGTACCAATTCAGACCGAAAGAAACCGATTATTGGGGAATAACGCAGTCTATCTCATATGGAGACACTGAGATTATGGCCAGCGCAATCGGCGTCGTCGACACCGGAACGACGTTGAACTATATGCCTACTGATACTTTCAACGCGTACATCAACTCCACCGGTGGAACGTTCGACGAGGCTACAGGACTGTACGAAATCACGCAGGAGCAGTATGATGCCCTAGATAATCTCATTTTCACTATTGGTGGCGTGAGTGTTCATTTTTGAGTGCATGGTTATAGATGGATATGGAGTGCTGATTCGGCCTTTTCATTCAGACCGATTTCCCGTTGACTGCTAATGCTCAGATTTGGCCCAGAGACTTGAATGAGAATATTGGAGGAGAGGAAGGCAAAATATATCTCGCTGCTGTTGCTACTGGTATGTGTACACTAGTACAATACAGGTTGACTGATGATCTCATGTTGTTACGTCCAGACCCTATCGAGGATCTCAACTTCATCAATGGATACGTGTTTTTGGAACGATTCTTCTCTATCTTCGACAACTCCAATTCTAGAGTGGGGTTTGCTACGACGTCCTACACGAACGCCACAACGAATTGAGACCAAAATCATGCTGTATACTACGGTCTACCGTACTACCTTTACCAAATAAAAATTTGAGCCTCAAAATTTCCTTCTAGCCGACTCGAACGACTGACCTCGTCATATTTGAGCAACATAAGATTTACTAGTGACGCGCTCTACCAACTGAGCTAAGAAGGAGCAATAGCAAATTTGGCCACCTATCTGTATATGACAATTCGATCTAGGACAGTGCACAACTCTAATTAGGCTAAGGTACTGTGTACTATGCTGTCTCGACTTCACCATCACCTAGGGTCATTTCATCAAAGCCTTCCAATAGCTCATCTAGCTGTATCTCAGGGAAATCTGCCTCTTCCTCTTCTCCTTCCTCCGCATCCTTCTGGGAATTTTCATCAACATCCATTGCAAACTGTGGTTTCCTAGGTCCCTTCTTTTCCTCTGTTTTCATGGTCACATCGTTCGATTTGTAGAGGTTGACAGCACTTCTCAGCTCTGGGTCTTCTTCGAGGTCACGGAGGAAAAGTTCATAATCCTCCTCGACCTTCTTTTGATCACGACCACCCATACGTCCAACAACACCCCGACCACTACCGGTTTCCCCCTCTTCGCCTGCTTCTTTTCCAATGCTCCTCAACCGCCAGCTTCTTGCCTTATTCTTCTTTCGACGATTCGGATATGTTTTCTTGACAAGCATGATATCAGGTATCCGATCGGAATGAAGCGAGGCGAAATCATCCGAGTTATAGTTGGAGTTTGTCAAGAAATAACCCAACGCTGTGTCCCCTGGTTGAAGAATTCCACCAAGGTGTGTTCGAGTGTGAAAGATTTGATTTGTGTAGCCGGAGCTCTCGTAGTCCATCGAGCTTTCATCTTGAACCCCGCCAGATCGGAAAGCACCTGCTAGAGCGACTTGGGCGTCTGCCAAGACAAATTTCCCTCGCGACCGACCGTCTACTTCGACGTCGAGCACAGTAAACTCGACGAGATCGGTGACGGTTGCTAGAGAGTCGAAAGGATTTCGCCAGTATATCGCGGATGTGATTTCGCAGGTCTGCAATGTAGAGGGATCGAGGAGCTGGATGGAATTGCCGACTCGGGTGCAGAGGGTGAGTGGGCTGATGTTGCCAAGCTGTCGGGCTTGTTTTGGAGGTATGCAAACTAGATCGTCTTTGCAGATGGGCATGATCTCGACGGAATAGGTGTACTTGAAATTGGCAGTGTTACTGTGTGTATCTGATGAAAGTAGTTGCTCCGAAGCCTTCGATCTGAAGGCACATTTTGAATCTTGGTAGATCAAGGAAGGTATGTGTTACTAACCTTACTGGAACAACACCCGTCAAGAATTCTACCATTTTGACCGCATGGCTCCGTTGACTGTAGAAAAAGTCTAGTCCATCCTTGACTTCTTTCACTGAGATCGTGTCCTTCTGAGCGCCATGTTTTAAAATAAGCTGTTCGAGGAAAAGGAAGGTCCTTTTATGAGAGACCTTTTGCCGAACTTGAACAAGGGCCTTCCAGGTGTTTTTAGCTGCAAGTTTTGCACAATCGGGACATTGACCATGTTGCACGAGGTACTCTATCTCGAAGGTTTGTTCTAAGATGGTGCTGGTGAGGACCTATACACCAGTAAGTAGTATTCATCGAGAAGAGTATGAGCTGCATACTTCTTTCTGGATCGTTAGCGATACGCGTAACCGTTTTGAATGTGGTTCTGTCCAGATGAAATGCGCCTCTGTCAGCCGCACTTTGGCTAATCCTTTCAGCTTTTTCAAGCACAGAGCAAGCAGTTCAGATGATTCTGGTCTTGCAAGGACCCAAGCTTGCGGGGGTGCTAGGAATCGTTCGCAGTTTCTGCAGTATGAGACCGATGCTGCGATGGAGCAATCAGAATATGTGGGTAGGTATCTCGAGGTTCATCGTACCTTGCTTGGGTATCCCTTCTGTTATGTCTACTCTATAAGCTGATCAGAGGTCGTCCGTACTGAAAAGCAAACACCATACGTATTTCGCAAGCAAGCGACGCATAAATTAGCGGAATTGGGTACAATCGGTGTACCTGATGAGAGAAAGATGAGAAGACAGTAGTAGATCGATTGAAATTGCATACCGCAGTCAGCACAAAGGACACGATGGATAGCAGGAGCAGGAACGAATTCCATGTTGGAGGTAGAAGTACAAGTTTTTTGTTACTCAGCAAACTTTTTTGCGGACCCGCGATGAGTGTGATTCTGGGGCGCTTATTTACCATGAGCGCTTATTTAGCTTTTCTATGGAGACGTGTCTATTTCGTGGCTCATCTGTTTTCAATCACAATCCCTTTATGCCTGCTTAAGCTCGAACGTTACTGCTATGCTTTGGTCTCTTTCTCTTCTCTCACCATTGGGCTTGCTTGCTGCAGCAAGTCCTCCAGTCAAGGTCTCTCTCAGAACGTCGTGGCCTGCCCCTCCATTCCTAGTAGAAGTCGTGTATGTGCTTCCTTTAGTTTCCGTTGTAAATGTCCCATTGTCTGATCATCATCCAGTGAAAGCGTCGCATTAGACAATCCCGCAGCATTCTTTCCTTTTCTTGATCGAGTCACAGACCCAGAAGTGGTGACTATCACTCCAGATGAAACCCCCGAGGCTGTTTATTCATCGTCGCTTCAAGTCGCGACAGACATGGGTTTATTCTCTGAACCGGGCAGTTTAGCATTTATTGAAATGAATCTCGCTCTTCACGCTGCTACGCCGAAGATTCAGGCCTTCTATCATCACTACACGGAGTCTGTCGGAGCAACTGCTTACCACGAGGGATGCGGTTCATGGGTAGAATGGTATGGCACAGTAGTCTGTGATGTGGAATCATTGGCACAACTGGCTGGGTTAGACACTATAGATTCAACGGAAAATCATTCGTGAGTCTTAATCCCATCTTAACTCGGGATGTGAGCTGAGTTCTGCCGCAGTTCAAACTATACAAGACCCAAAATCTTACCTTTCGACCACATATACCCGCCTGTAAATGGTCGTCTAGAGACTCCACCACGATCTGCCATCCTATACGCCTCCTTGTCCTCTCCAAATTTTCGTGAACTACACACCTATTTGATGAAGTTGGCGTATAATGCGGAACCACGTATCGAGTACATCGTTAGACATGTCCCACCAGGAAATATCGACCCCTCAAAACGAAGCTATCTTTCAGGATACAGTGTCGCTCTAGACCTCAAGAAAATGGACTATCTCGCACTGGACGACAGACATCTGGGTGTTCAACAGGATGACCGTTCTCGTTTAGACGATATCGAGATTGAGACCGCTGTTATCGATCCCATATTCTCTCTCCTGGACAAATACCCAGAAAATTCCACAGCATCCGATGTCAACACGCCTCCGACCGAAGATGAGCTGCAAAACATTGGCTACCAAGCCTCTCAGCTTGTCCTGGACTCCGTCAATCCTCTTCTCACCCTCCTACATCTTTCCCAAAACTTTCCCAAATATGTGACAACTATTGCACGCCGTGTTTTGGTGAAGGAGCCTCTGGCGGAAGAGATACACGAGAATCAATTGCGTGTCCAGGGTGGTGCGAATGCTATGTGGTTGAACGGGGTTTCTGTGTCAGAGAAAGACTTGAACGCGTTTGGCTTGTTGCGGTTAATGAAGAAAGAGCGAAAAGTTATGATGGATTTGACGAGTTTGGGTCTTGAGAGAGGCGAGGCAATTGAGCTACTAACACATCCTATACTTTCTTTGGCTCAAGAGAGTAAGGATGTTTTAGACGGATTAGTTGATGCAACTGACCGAATTGAGGGTGGGGATGTTATCATATGGTGGAATGATCTTGAGAAGGACAAAAGGTGAATGATTCGTACACTGTTTTCTCTTTTCAGTCTAATCACAGCATAGGTATAATCATTGGGGTGCTTCGATAACTGGCGTAAGAGCACTACCATTTTGATTGCAAACCTCGAACTCACGTTTCGTCCAAGTTGCTGCGCCCTCTCTATCCTGGACAATTCCATATGATCAAACTCAACCTGTTCAACGTAGTTCTTGCGCTTGATCTATCTCGACCAGCGAACCTAGTTTTTGTTGCCGGAACCATGCACACTATCATTGAAAGAGGTCTCCCCTTCCGTTTCGGTGTTGTACCCATTGCAGAGACGGATGATGGTATGTGTTGACTCATGATGCCTGGAAACCTATATATGTGACGGTGTATTCGTAGGTGCACAAATGGCAAGATTGGTGTACTTCCTCTTGAACAACTTTGGTCGTAAGATTACCATGCACTTCCTGAAACGGGTACTCGACCTCCTTCCGTGTAGCGGCTATGCAACAAAAAACTGATTGATGTTCTCATTCTACTCTTAGATCGCTCATCCTTATTCTCTTCCCGGTGCTCGTGATTCCTTCGATTGGTCTACCATCCGTCGGGAATATGACAATCTCATGGCTTCGGAGGCTGCAGCCGGCGCGGATATAGATCAAACTACAGTGGAGTTTAACTCTGTGATATCTGGTAAAACCTCCGAATCCAAAATCCTAGATGGTGCACAGGCGTATGCTCAACGTCTGAGTGCCACTCTGTCTTCGTCGCCTACTGGGCATGGGTTCATCAATGGGAAACATTATACTTTTGACGAGGCATGCAATTCTCGTTCTGTGCACATTCAGATATCCTCATGCATTAGTCCTAGAACTTCCTTCGAAACATGCAGACAGAGATCAGTCGACAGCTGATGCACCTACAGGAAGAGGTAGTATGCTATATCTCGTTGCCCCAAACCACAGCTGATCTTTTTGTAGATATATATGGGCCACTTGACCGACGAGGATAACGAGAGGATATCGACATATTTCTTCGACCTTCCAACCACCGCCAAACGCAGGAACAAATTCGTCGTCCCTTCCAAGGATGAGTTCGATGTGATCAGTCTACCTGAGCTTCTTCCCGGATCTGGATCTGTCTTCGCACCGTCTGCCTTCGTGTATCCTACGGACTCGGAAGTTATCCCTGTTTCAATATTTGTAGTAGCAGATCTCGATGCCAAGAATGGTCTTGAATTCGTGAAGGAAGCGCTTTCTTCGATGGTGGGTGATGGCCTTCACTCTTCTACTGTTATCATCCCTGACGGTGTCTGAGAAGGAGAAAGACTCAAATGCCCGCCTGGCGTTTATCCATAACCCTGCTAC